ATTTATAAATATATATAAATTTTTATATTAAAAAATCACATTTAATAAGAGATTTTGATGCTCGAAAAAGAATTTTTTAATATTTTAAAAAAACCATTAAATTCTTTTTTAAATATTAAAAATCTTGTCAAAATCCTAAACAAGTTTCTGGCATTTTCATGAAGTTTATAACTTCACTAATAAAGAAAAAAAAAAGAGAAAATGTCTACGATCTAATATTAACTTAATCCCTTCCTTCAGCATACTTGGAATGAATTTGTTTGGTTGTAAATTCTGCAAGAAAGTGGACGAAACTTCGAATTTTTGCGATAGGAAGAATTTTGACACATTGCTTTGGGCCATTGTTACAGTTTTTCAGGTATTTGATATTATCATGTAATTTAGCCAAAAGAAAAAAAATCAATATAAAGGAAAAAAATGCACATCCAGCTTTTTCAAAATGATAAATTAATAATTTATTTTCTATTCTAATAGTATTTTTTTTGTAGATATTTATAAATGTATTTATTAACATTCGAAAGTATAAAAGTAGGTTAGATGCTATAAATGGGTTTTTATGTAATGCAATATTAAAAATTACAGAAAAAAATTACATTTCTTAATTATCGCCTTAGCTCTTTTTCGCTCTTTTCTGCCTCGTTATTGCTGTTATACATTCTTTAAATGCAATAATAATTGTTCTTTTGCTTATTTTAACACGTTGCTGGCTGTGCTTAGCTTTCTGCAATGATGGCCTACTATTTTTTACACATTATTTAATAGTTTTTTTAATGCTAGATAAAATTTTAATGGCGTATATGTGTACAGTACAATAAAAGATTCAACTTCAGTTAATTATGATTAAAAAAATTAATTTAATATAATTAACTTTAGCAATGCTTTATAAACGTATTAACACTATAAATAACATAATTAAGTGTTATATATATATATATAAATGTGAATAAATATATATATATTTTTTAAGTTTGCAAAAGATGTGATTGCACCTTCAATCAGTATTTAAATATATATGTATATGAGCATGGTAAATTGTTATTGAATATATTGCTTTTTGCATAGCTTAAATGTATTTATTATTGTGCAAAGTATTAAGTATAGATTATGTTCTTTTTTTTGGTCAAAAATTCACCATTATTTAATTGTATTGTCGTATTAAGAATTTGATATTAGTCACACCATAAGATAGTACATGTCTGCTTCACAGTTGCTTGGGCATGTATCTGTTTGGTGGTAAACTTTGCACTCGGAACGATGGCAGTGGTCAATGCAATTGTGAAGACCTTCGAAGTGATCCTACTCAATGTAGCTGCGACAGAAAACAGTTCGACAATATACTATGGGCCACAGTCACTGTTTTTCAGGTGAGAATTACCTGTAAAATATTAGGGTCAACGAGGCAGAAAAAATACCGGAAAGGAGCAATTTCCTGATTTTTTAAAAAATTAACTTCTACTATTTTTTAGATCTTGCAAATATAATTTGCAATTTCTACTTTTAGTATTTTACTATTAAGTTCAGTAAAAGCATAATATTTGTCATTTAAATTATCGCACTCAATAGTCGTTCGATCATCCATTGCAGAAACTACTCGTGTGTAATCCAGCCATGAGGATATCTGCCGACGAAGCCATGCAACATTCTTACTTCCACGATCTCCCACCAGCTATTAAAAATGGATAATATAAGTATTGTATATTATTATAATTATGTAAATATTAATTGTAAATTTTTGCCATTAGTTTCTGTCTGTTACTCTACAAAAATAAATTATGCATACTTTTGCAATTTACAAGAATTCAATATGGAAGATTTAATTTTCTTGATCTGATTTTAAAACAAATTTGTTTAGTTAGATTTTAAAAAATAAATAACATTTGAGCATAAAGTAAGAAAGCTTGACAGTTATTATTTAGCTTTCAAAACCCTATAAAGCAATAAACAGTAAAGTAAATTTTCATAATAATAAATATTTGTTATGGATAAAAGCATAAAGTAAAATGTAAATTTTTTTATTTTTATTTTTATTTTTTTGATAATTTAATATAGATTTATGCTGTATAAATTATCGACTTTTTGTCAAAAACTATTTGTTTTTTCTAAGTATAATAAAAATCTAAAATTTAAATTAATAAAAAGTTGCATTTGTTTGAAAAAAATTAAAGTGGAAATAATTGATAAGATGTATTTCTTCATAGTTTAATTTTTAAAACATGAATTTATTTTAAATATTTCTTATTAAATTGGTATTAAACAATTTATAATTAAATTGTTTTATTTTAAAACATCAATATTTCTTCCATTTGGTAATGTTTTTCAGATTATTAAAAGATGCTGTATGTGTACAAATTTTCATAATTAATATACAGTGATTTATTATCATGTTTATGACATTTTGATTCCTGCTATAAAAAAAAAGAAAGAAAGAAATGCTAAGTNGAGAGGAAGCTTATTAGTTTGTAGAATATATATTAAAAAATAATTACAAAATTATAAATTCTATAAATAACATTAAATTTTTATTAAATTAACATTATTTATTTATCGATATAAAATAATTCTTATATATTTTATTATTATTCTAATATGATGACACATTGAGACGTATATTCAAATGACAATTTACAGATAAAGAATATTTAAATAAAATTATTGATATTAAAGATAAATGTATTTAATTCTTCAAAATCTAAAATGAATTAAGTCTAAGATCTTTGAACATATCAAAATTTTTATCAAATCCTTGAGATAAGAATTTTGATATCTTTAAAGATTAATGATGCTGAGAAGAGATTTAAGAATAATTTTATCATCACTCTATTTTACTTAATAATATTTAATAAAATACAAGAAAAATAAAGAAATAAAAAAGAAAAATATCTTTTTATAATATAATTATTATTCTAAAATTAGTATTTTATTAAATTTATGTTTACAAAACCTTATAAAAAATTAATATTTGCATGATAACTACTATAAAAAAAACTATAATATCCAATTAATGAATTTTTGCCGCTGACATTATCTAAGCAATTTAATTATATTTTATCTAAATATATCTTTAACTATTTAATTAAACGTTTTAAAATATAGATTTACGTTCAATTCGATTAAAATAATTTGATACAAATGTAAAATTTTAGAAGGATCGTTTCTGGTGATAAACTTCACTCAATATGTAGATTCTAATACATAAATCATGATGCTGACTCATAAAAAGAATCCAAGACTTAAAACATTAAACATGTATTTGATACGAGTGAAATTTTAGCCCACGTCATTTAGTAATCGAATGATCTAAGAAGTTAATGGAAGTTTTAAATCAAGATTTTCATGCAATTAGACTTATATCATGTGTTGTATGTTCGCCTATGTGTTCAAAATTGTCTACTTTCCTGTTAAATGAGTAGATTTTAATAATAAGAATCATCCGAAATATATATTATAATTTATAAACCAGGTGTTCATACACAGATCCGGTTGCACGGACGTGTGACATGTTCATTCGCATAAGGTAGAGCATTAAGAATGGGATTTCTCTACCCCATTCTTAATGCTTTATCCTGGCATTTATATTTTACATTAAGCCCAGCAAATTACGGGCACAGCAAAGATATTATTCAAACTATGTCTTAGAACATTTCTCGTGTAACCAGGGAAGTGGGTTCAGATCTCACACGTGAACTTGTATACTAAGATTTTCGATATATTCTGCTTATTAACATATATTTATTCAAGAAACATGAATTCTGAATATAATATAAATTTAAATTAAATAAACAGATAAATGATTAATAATTATATAATGTCAACAAGTAGGCTATATCTTGTGTGTTTTAATAATATTAGCTTAATATTAACGACATTACTTCCTCATAATTAGCAACAAATATGAAATTATGCAAATATTTAACTATAGGCCAATATTAATTAAAATTTACAGTAATAAATGTAAATCTTAATTTTATTAATTAGAAAATATATTAGTTATTATTTTTTTAATGTTTAAAATAATTTTTAAATAGATTAAACGTTTTTAAAAAAATATCCTTAAATAGTAATAATAATTGAAGGGAAAAAAATTTCAGCTGAATTTGCAAATTTTTCTAATGTGTAAAATTACGAAGTTGCTGACTTTATGGCTTTCTATCAAGGCGTTATGTATGTTCATTCAGATTTTTTTCACTCCTCTTACTTTTTCTCTTATAAATAAATTGAATATCGTACAAATCTGAAAGAAGTAAATGCACTGAATCCATTCAGTAAATCATTTTATGATTTATATTTGCAATTATATAACACTATATTTACTTTATAAAGTACACACGTATTTTTAATTAAAAAAAATCATTAACTTCTCGACGAAAAAAGACATTCTTTGATAATTTAAATACATTTATTTTAAAATCTCTCTACTAGTAATTTGTGTATATTTATTTTATTAATTCAGGGCTGAATTTAGATTCGTTGTATCCCTGAATTATATAATATCTTTCCTCCAACAAATAATGTAACGAGGTTGCAGTGTGGTCCTAAACTGTAACATGTTTGACTTATGTGTAAATTCTGTCCCTTTTTAAATAATTTTTAAAATTATTAATTCTTCTTTGTACGAAAGTTTGTATACATTTGACGTTCTTAAAATTACGGAAGAATATTTATAAATTATTTATATTAATTTTCAGGATGATAAGAAGAAGAGTGATGAAGTATTGGAGAACACGTCTCCTGGAAGACATGGAATGAAAGGAAATAAAAACCGAAAGTACATGATCCAAGAAGTAGATCCCAAAGACAATATTGAGAAAGGTAAAATTTCTATTGAATTGGAACAAACGATAAAAAAAAGTTAGACAAGGATACGATAACAGCATTAGAAAGATTTGTATAGGAGTTTTATGTGGAAAATTTTTTAGTATCTTTCTATCTGTATTGAATAAATTATAACAATTTCTTTCTAGTTGATAATTTCGATTTTAAATTATAAATATCTCATTTCTTATATTGCATTCTGAAGAACATTTGCTATAAAAAGAAAGAGAGAAAGAGGGAGATTTTCACAAAAATTATTTAATATCTTACACGTAGCATATAAAAACTACTGAATTAGTTTTAGTTCACTAATTTATTCACGTTATTAATCATTTAATAAGCTTTTCTCAAGTTTAATTTATAACTTTTAAGTATTATAACAAAAATTTTTACAAACTTTTAATTCTTTAATAGCTTGAAAATTAATCTATTATAAATCGAATTACATAAAATTATCAGTCTTTCTTATCGAACTGTTCGAAAATCTGAATTAAATAATTTTATTCCCAATTACATAAGAGATATAAAATTAATTTAAAGTGATGCATACTTCTATTTATCGAGAATCAAGTATTGGTTTTATAAAATCTAAAATAAAAAGAAAAGTATGGACCATTATTCAAAATAGAGAAGAATTTAAGTTTGAGAATTGCGATAAATTGTAGTAGAATTTTATAAATCGATATACTAATTCATACAGAAGAATTAAATGTAGATTCTACGAAATTTTGATCAATATTATTATAGTTTATCAGATCAACGATGTCACTGTCAAAAGTTGGAATATGCAAATTAATCCTGATAGACTTTATAACAAGCAAGATGATTGGCAAACGAAAAAGAAATGAAGGAAAATATAACTTTTTTTAAGAATTATAAAATAAATTGTTAAGAGGATTTTAAACATTTTCGAATTTCCTAATTCCTAAACAAAATTCTGATATAAAATGATCAGTAAGAAAACATCTAACAGCCAAACCTTAAAAAACTTTTATAATTATAGTCCAAATTAAATACTTTTATTTTTTTAATATTAAAATAAAATTTAATTTTATGATACATATATAGTGTATATATACTTTATAATTGGGGGAAAAAAAGAGAATAAATTGCCAGAAGAAATGAAGAGTCATTTTTAATTTCAATAAAACTATGGAGCTAGAAAGCAGACATTAAACATTTACTGGTGTTTTTTTAATACTCAATCATAAAAAATTTTTAATTAATATTTGGACTTTAGATAAGTTATCTTCTATAAAGAAAAATGTATCATTCATAATCATTAACTGAATTTTTTCTTTTGCAAAGAAATAAATTCATAATTTTTCCTTCTTCAAAATGCATCTACAGCTTTCAACTTGCATTTTAGATATTTTTATCATAAAAATTGACCAAAATTATTTAAAATTAAGGTAAATTTCTGATAATTCGTAATAATTTAAGTTTCTGAATCTCGTAAATGGATTGAAAGGAAATCAAAAGAACGAGTGAAATTTCACACATTTTATATAAAATATCGAATGAAATTGTATTTTTTTGCATTTGTTTGTATAAAATAAACTATTTTTATTATTAAAATCGAAAATAAGCAAATATTTACTTCGATATTAACAATATTAAATCGATGAATCACAAGAGATCAACGTATCAAGTTAATTCATTCTAAATCAAATTATATATGAATTGAATTCTTTAATAGGTGTAATAAGATTCACAATTCTTGTGAAAATTGTGTTAAATATCACTTCGTCGAATCGAATATATTTTTTTAAATATAAATTTTAAAATAGTTCCTGTCCATCATTATTATAATTCATTACCTCCGTAGGATTAAGCGGTAAAAAATATAAATATTAAAAAAATAAGATCAAAATTTGTGGAAAAGAAATTAATTTTCTTACTTAAATAACTTAAATTGTTATTATTTTACTAAATAAATTATTATTTGTCTCATAAAATTTGTATCTCGTCAAACCAAAGTTTAATGTAGCGGCACAACAATATGAAACTTTTATTAAATGTAATATAATATGTTTAGTGATTATAATGATCAATACTTCTAATACATTTATTAAAACTAGAAGAAATTAAGTAAAAAATTAATTAAAATTATGTTTAATTAATAAAAAATACATTTTCTTTATCATTTTTTCTTTGCCATATATATAATTAGGGGGTAATTTACATATTTGTGCGTTCAGTTCAATGCAAATTCTATATTATATTATTCTATATTAAGACATTTTTAATTTAAATCAATGGTATGCTGTAAATTAAAGAATCACTCAATAGTGGATATTCAATAGCTTCAAATATCTCTTGATAGTCATATTAATTATGTAACCATACTTTAAATTTACATATAATAATAATCCTTATGATCCATTTACACTTGCTTAGTATTTATCGTAAATAATAATTAAACATTGTAGGATGTTAAAATAATTAAAATATTATTTTAATCACATAATAAATATTTATTGGAATTTTATTTTTATAAATAGAAACTATAATGCGGCACAATCAACCAGACAGATTAAAACAAGGATGCCAAACAACAGATCATTTTTTTCCTCCAATTATTACCCACACAGCTGCAACGCCACAAGGTTCACCCTGCGCAAATTTAGATCCCGTGTTAAGAGATTTGAATAACAGGCTCTCCCCATCGAGAGCGTTTAATATTAGTGCCTCTTCCATCGATACTATTGATAAATCATCAGTAAGTTTGAATGTAAATTAATATATACAGTATTTTCTTTTATTAAATATATATATTAATTTCAGATCCCTCCATCCCTTCATATCCAACAATGCTCTCCATCTCAATCCACATGTGGTGATTATAGCCAAGAAAGTGATACCTTAACGGTTCCTCAAATTTATGTTTGTACTTCTCCTTCTCTATCAAGGAAAAGCAGCCTCGCTAGTAGTAAATCAAGGAGAGGAAGTGATTCTTCTTACTCCGAAAAAAAAGTATTTTAAACTTTTATTAAGTAGAAAATTGTAGATACAGCACTTTTTTTAATCTCAATAATGCCTATTCTAGAGATCGTCAAGTCCAACTCCTCTACAGCGTCAAAATAGTAAGAATAATAGTTGCAGTTCACCAAAAGTTAGTAGGAGAGGAAGCATTCACAGTTGGAAACTTAAAAAGAAGAAAAAAAGTGCAAAGGATAGCTCTATAGAATCCGATAGCGATTCTTTAAGCGATGAGGAACAGGAAGTGATACTTAACAATATGAACAATCAGCTAAACTGGTAAGAAGTAAAGGATTGTTTTCATTCGTTGGTATATACATAAATCGGTATAAATATGGATTTTTACTTTATTTCAGTGGCTTCATCGTCGACCACAGGCATTGTAACGGCAGACTTCCTACATTAGTAAACACTACAAATAATAAAACTAACAACGTTACAATTGAAAACACGATCTCAACAACTAGAACTCCGAGTCCTCAGTATTCCATTAAGAATCAGTATCCAGAAGGAATGGGGGAAGTTGTCTCTATTCCTCACACTGATTGCTGCTCTAGACGACGATCAGGAAGTGTTCACAATTCAATCAACGACAACGATCAAAATCCCAGCAGTGGTCTATCGTTAGTCGACTCGTCTTTGAAAGAAGATTTCAAACCTAACAACTTATCCAATATGTCACAATATAAAACAGAGAATACAGCAAATGCGGAAAAAATCGACTTTGGAGAAAAGAAGGTTAGTAAAAGTAATGCAGGAAGAGAAAGTTTCATTTCCTTTAACTTGTCATTCTTCTTTATTTTTCTTTACTCTATATACATTTCTTCTTACCAAAAAAAGGTGACAAATTACAAATATCGTTTTTCATAGTAAACTTTTATTGATTCTATTGAATAAAATATAAAATAATTGTTAATATTATAAAATTTATAAACTTCTAAGAAGTCTAAAATTATTTTTTATTTATTTATTTCGTAAAAATTAACGCTCTCATATAAGTACCACCATCACTTCCCTTAAGGATTAGTAATAAGAATAAAGATTTTGTCCTGTTAAGTATATTAAAAATCACTTCTAAAATAAAAAAAAATATTTAATTATTATAAAATTAAAAATATTTTTAACAAAATCGATTCTTTAAACGAAAAGTTGATTACTCGGACCCCTAAACTTTATTGAAATTCTTCCAACTAATCAAAAAGTATAGATTTTAAAGTAGTGTACTAGCATATTTTATAAGTTGTTTTTTTTTTAAATTTCAAAACTTCTTGAAGATAAGATGTCTTTTTTAATATTTTTTATCAGCTTTGTTGGTTTTTTGAATGGACAGAATGGATGAAAGACAGGGAAAGTTTCTCACTGTTTTTATTTTCTCCGTCCAACCGGTAAGTGCACCTTAATTGTCCTTTCTTCTCTCCTCTTATCAATAGCTTTAAACATAGAATACAAAATAGGTTTTATAAAATAATGAATTTGAAGGAAAGATAAGAAAAGTCCTCAATACTTAGTAAATTTCATGTAATAACTACATCATTATATTTACAGTTAAGAACTCATCTTATGCTATTACAATAATATGAAGTGTGTGTAAGCAACATACAATAACCTTATTGAATTTTTACCTGATTAACAATGTATAAAAAAAATAATAATAATTTTTAAAAATAATTTTATTATATACAGAAACGTTATTTTTTTATTAATTTAAAATTTAAAAATTTATATAACTTCTTGATATTTTTAATTAAGTTGTTAAACGCAAATTAAATATTTTAAATTATTAAAAACTTACATTATTTTACTTTATTATTATTTTTTATAACATAATGAACTTTATATAAACTGTAATTTTAAATTAAATTATGATTAAATTAAAGTAGCAAATAAGATGAATTAATTCAGAATATTTTGAGATTAAAATCCCGTTTTATCATAAATAATAATAATATTGCGTATATAAAATTTCAATCAATTTATCCATCTAAAAATAGTGTTGGAGTCAGAAAAGTGGTGACCATAGATATACATTAGAACAGAAAAAAGAATGGAAGGGGAAAAAAACTTGGGATTACGTTAAAAGGTAGAAAAGTAAGGATTAGAAAAGAGAAAAGAACACGATGTTTGAGGGGGGTAAAGATGGAAGAAAGCAAATGGAAATGGGATGGACATGTTGCAAGAATGATGGACAACAGGTGAAGCAGGAAATGGACCCCAAGAGAACTGTCTGAAAACAAAGAACAAAATAGAAAATAACACATGAAAGTGCTGTAGAAGAATATAAAACTTGAACAGAAACATACGCATAATTTGATCCTAAATATAATAAATAATAATAAAATTGAAATTTTCTAAAGTCCATTAAAAACACCAATAATCTTCTTAATTGTTAAGTAGAAAATAAAATTTAAAATTAATTAATTTAATTAAATTTATTGATAGTTAAGTAGGAAAAAAAACATTTAAAGTGTGATAAAATTTCAGATAAATTAATTAAATAAATAAAATAGAAATATTTTGTATCTAAAGTTTTGTTGAATATGGCGTAAAAAAATAAAAATTCGTTTAAAAATTCAAATATTTATCAAGTTTATTAGTGTTAATTATATTTAAAAGTATTATAAATTATAAGACAGATTAGTAAAAAATATATAAATATAAAATTGATATACAGTAGAACCTCGATTATCCGGACTAATTGGGGATGAAGGTGGTCCGGATAAGAAAAAATCCGGATAATCGAAACAAACACTTTAATTTGTCTTTTAATGATAATACAACACGTTTTCTTTTCGATGACATATCGGCAATATTAAAAGTAAATACTGTATTTAAATCGTGATCAAATTTTCAAGAAACAAACATTCATATTGAATTTGGACTACTACTGACCAACGCTAACAGACTACCTACTGTTTAAAAGGCCCTCTAGTGGCGCAAGAAGACGGATTTTATAAAATAAAAAGCAGTTGAAACTGCAGTTTTATGAATAAAAATTTGATAAACTATTTATCGTTTTATGACGAGTAAAATTTTTTCGTCGCGTTCGCGGCTTTTAAGTAATGCATAAACCTTCGAGGCGCGAGGCCCTTCGGACCGCCAGGCATAGGCGGTGGCCCACGTCGTCCATGCCTTACGCCGCCCTTGGTCATAGAAATGATGTAATTTGAATATAAATTATTTATAAATACGTATGTCAAGTTATATTTTTATTACTACGTAAAATATATTTAAGAGTTTACGACCACTGTGATGGGTGAGACGTTGTTGAAACAAAAAAAGTTATGCATTCCATCACGTACATAAACAGTGTCGTAATTCGCCAAGTGCAAATCAGCAAATTCGTAAAATTTTTGTTTATTTTGAACAATCCGGATAATCGAAAATCCGGATAATGGAGGTCCGGATAATGGAGGTTCTACTGTACTTTGTGTATAAATTTCGTTAAAAATTAAAAATTATTGCTAATTTATGTTAATATTCTTTCCACGTTATAATAATAATATGAAATAATTTTAAAATAAAATTTTATAACAGATGGCGCCACATACAATTTTAACTTTGTTTCCGGGAAAGTTACGCAACTTGTTGTCGGACAGAAACAGACTTTATAACTTTAATAATATTTTTAATAGTGCAGTAATATTAATTTTAGAGCATCCAATAGGCAATTATTAAACTATTATTTGCTTCGAATCTTCTGGCTAATTTATAATTAACATTTAACAATAAAATATTTATTTCTCGATTAAAATATGAATCTTTATTAAATATAATATTGATATTTGTAATTGAGAGTATGTATAACGTTTTAAATTATCTTCTATTGACATACTTAAATGTGATTTATAACCGTAAAGTAGGCAATTTTAATTAATTTTGTTCGAATTTTCAATATAAAGAATTAAATTAAATACCTTTAAAAACTATAACAACTTTTTACTCGATTATAATTATATTTTATTACCCCAAATTTATGTTATTTTAAATATACCTTTTAATGTATTTAATTTTTAAGTTTATTTATTTTTTTACATATGTATTTATATTAATTATAATTATAATAAAACTTAAATTAGATCTTATAATTTACGGATTCAAGATTTAACTTTTAAGTAGATTTATTTAATAATTTGTCAGCCTGTCTGTCCTATTTAAATATATATATTTAAATAGGACAGACAAGCTGACAAATTATAAAAAACATTAAATATTGATTTTCTTATATTTTATTTACAATTTTTATTTTTGAAATTTCAGTTTTTATTTTATCTCTCGATAAATGTTAATAAAAGTAAGATATATTAGTAGAAAGTAAAAGTATTTTTTTCTCTTTTATAAATGAAAGTATAATTAATATATTTGAAGAATTATTAAGGAAGATTTTATTGATACCGATGTTTTATGACAAGTTTAGTACCATTAATCTTTAATAAACGTGCTTCTGGTACACTTTTAGTAAAAAGATCAAAAGAAACTTCAAGTCAGATAATCCTTCAACGTAAGTTGGATGAATTGAATGCACGCTATTTCTGCAGAAAAGAATAGAAAATAATGAGAAAAACTCTCTTCTCGAGAGGGATACGATCTGAATCCTCGTCTATATCGATATATTCAATGGTACATTCACCCGAATCGAACGAAGAATTCTACTCCATTCTAAAAATGTTGTAGGTCCTAATAAAGTGTGAAACGTTTACAGAACCATGAAAAAAATAATAATATTTAAATTTAAACATAATTACAAGAGGAAGGATTGATTATATTACCGGTTCGTTAGTCCGTCTGTACAGTACGTCTGTCCTCTCTTCAATCGTTTTGAAAATCGTTTGAAATATGGTGATTGAAATTTTTAAGATAATTTAAAGGGTGAAACAGTTCAAATTTACTCGCAAATTAAATAGCAAATCATTAAATCTTGAAGAATTTTGTTACTTTTAACGCTTAAAAATCAACGGTTCTCAACCTTTTTCACACTGAGCCTTCTTGCGTACCAACGGTGTGTACCACCGATTGGAAATTGTTGCTTTAAATTATTCTATCTTAAATCATTTTCAAAACAACTCAACAGTGAAAAAACAAAAAACTTCTCAAACTGATAATATAATTTAATTTGACCGTCTGTGTGTCTGTTCTCTATTTGATAAAGAGTTTTGTAAATCGTTTGAGATGATGATTTAATGTTTTTGAATAATTTAAGAGGTAAAACTTAATTGCCTCTTAAATTTAATCAAAAAATTTTTAAATTTTTTGATTAAATTTAATCAAAAAATCGAGAAGTTTCATATAAAATTTTGAAAAATTACAATAATTCGAATAATAATTATTTTAGGTACTAATTTTAATTTTATTAAGAATTACTACTTTATGATATTTTTGAAGCAATTATTATATTCGTTAATACTAATTAAACAAGGATATAATGATTAATAATGGGATAATTAATAAGGAATATTAAGAATTTTTTAAGCATCATTTGACACATTATATTTGTAATTGTATAAAAGGAAAAAAGTTTGTTTTTTAATTTAGTTCATTAATCATTTATTCTATAAAAATTAAAAAAAATATATGAAAATTACTCAATAAATCTGATGAAAAGAAAACAATTATCAACCAGTAGATCGCGAGCTCCATTAATCGAAATTTTCCATTACTTTAATAGGAAATTCCCAATTAAGAAAAAGAAACTTGGAAAAATATGATTAGAAAATGTTTAAGTGTATTTTTTTTTCTTTAATGTGTTAAATAAAAATAAATATTTTTAAAATTTAAATATTAAAACTGAAAAATACTTCAGTTTTTATTTATTTAATATTTAAATTTTTGTGTGTAGCTTTCTCGAAAATTAAAAATTTTTAATAATAAATGACGTGCAAAGCATTAACCATTATTAACTTTTAAAGCTAAAAAAAATATAAAACTAAATAAATAATTAATATTTTTCGCATTTTTCAACTTAAATTATATCAGGCTTACGCACACGCATACAACGTGGCCCAAAAGTCGGTTAACAATTCTAAAAACTAAATTGCCGTTTTACTCGAACAATTTGTTAGGAAAATACTAGCAAAAACGTCGGTTGACTTAATTTTTGGCCACCCTAAATCTATATATTGCACCGAAATTCAAGTCTATATACGCATAAACGGCTTAAAAATCAGTTAACCGTAGTAAAGGTTACTTTATTACGAATTATACTGAATTACTCTCTTATTCGAGTATATTATTACTTTAAAAAAATTTCCGAATTGTTTACAAAGCTGTTAATTGACTTTTTTGAGCCGTCTTGTATGTATATAATTAGATTTTTATTCTCAGTTTTTACGTGAGAAGTAATAATTTATTCAATTTGTATACACTGTAAAACCTATTAAATATTTTAAAAAAGTAATGGAAAATATGTAGATTTTCCACTACTTTTTAAGCTTATTTCTTTAATTCTTTGACGAAAAAAAAGGATGTATAAATGTATATTTAATATAAATATATATTTTTTTATTTTATGTAAACTAAAAAAAATTTAATTTATTTTAAATTTTGCTAAAATTGGTTTAAGAGTAGAAATAAATATATTCATTTTGTTGTTTGTGTTTGTTGTAGAGTGAGAAAATGGTGCACGTACTTGGCTCATGAAAAATGGTTTGACTATTCAATTCTTGTGTTTATCGGATTGAATTGCATTACTTTAGCTATGGAGAGACCAAACATACCACCAAATAGTACAGAACGTATGATTTTGACGGCAACTAATTACATTTTCACTGTTGTCTTCGCATTCGAAATGTTAATTAAAGTAAGTTGTCATCTTTTTTTCATATGCACGAGTTTGATAATTATAATTGTGATCAATGAGGAAGTATGGTTATTGGGCTGAAGTTTGAAAAAAAAAAACTTGTAGACCTATAAATTCCCACTGCTGTCTGTCTGTCTATCTTTCTTTAATCTCGAGAACGGTGTTAGATAGATGATCGGCATGACTCGATTGTTATCGGAAGAAGCATGACATACCGGTACAAGGGCAAAACACTACTAAAATCGATATCAGATATGGAAAGCTTATGGGCAGGAGGCCCCGATTAACTATATATGAACTTCCGATGCAAATTGACAGTCACGTTATTTCAATTCAAAAAATTTCCCTGAAAGATGTTAGATGCATGACCTGCACGACTCTAATGTTAAAGGAAAAGTATGATGTACAGGGGCAAGTCAGTACTAATTTGAGGTGGAGAGCATATATTTTAAATGAAATAAATCAAAAATATAATAAAAATTGCAATATATGCTCGTTAACAATAAAAAATTACAGTGTAGAGGTTTTAAAAAATTAAATTAATTTATTTAAAAATATATATATTAAAAGTTATAAAGTAGAAATTTTATTAGAGAAAATAAAATATGGATTAATTCTAATGTTTAATAATTAAAATGTATTAAAATAAAAACAAATTCTTCCTTATTGATTAATATAATTATAATAATTGTTATAAAAATATAAATTAAGCAGTTTATATAGACTTTTCTTTAGTTTAAAATGTTGATATATTTATTACAATAGAAACTAAAAATGATATTTTCAGGTTATAGCTAAAGGTTTGTGGTATGGAAGCCATGCTTACTTTAAAACTGGTTGGAATATCATGGATGGTAGTTTAGTAATGATTTCCTTGGTAGATGTTCTTTTATCTTTTGTTGCTGATGGCAGTCCACGTATTTTTGGAATCCTAAGAGTTTTTCGTTTACTACGTTCCCTCAGGCCTTTAAGGTAAGAAGAATTTTCTTTACTTATTTAAATTTTTCAGTTATATATTATATATTTTAAGCTATTTTTTCTATAAAATAGCTAGTTATTGGTCAATTTTCTTTCTTTTTCATTCTATTTTTAGGGTTATTAATAGAGCTCCGGGATTAAAATTAGTCGTTCAAACACTTTTATCATCTTTACGCCCTATAGGAAATATTGTACTTATTTGTTGTACATTTTTTATTATTTTCGGAATTTTGGGAGTACAGGTAAGTAATTTAATACATGTTTTTTTATTTTTATACTTTAATTTTTAAATTTATAATAAAATAAATTACTAAAAAGGTAAAAAAGGAAGACATAATTACCATTATGCAAATTTTTAAGTTGTATGCATTAATCTCTTACGTTGAAACTTTTATTATTTAAAGTTATAAACAGTTCAAAATATAAATTTATTACGTTGATTTATTAAAATTCCATTATACATGTGTTTATATATATATTTTTTTAAAGCTTTTCAAAGGAAGCTTTTATTATTGCGAAGGACCAGATGTGAAAGATGTTAAAAATAAAACACAATGTTTGGAAGACAAACGAAACGAATGGATTAACCAAAAATATAATTTTGATAATTTAGGCCAAGTAAAAAATTTTTTTCCAAATTTTATTCATTTTAATAATTTTATTAATTAAAAACTTATAAAATTTTAGGCATTGATGTCGTTATTTGTTTTGTCATCTAAAGACGGTTGGGTAAATATCATGTATACTGGTCTAGATGCTGTTGGAATTGATCAGCAGGTATTTATTTATCTTTTTATAAGTTTATTACGAATAAAAATATATTATAATTATAAATTTTTAATATATTTTTTAGAATAAGTAAAGGTAAATACATCGTTTTATAGTAGAGTTACCTCAATAATTAATTTTCTTCTCTTGCAGCCTATTGAAAATTACAGCGAATGGAGACTGTTATACTTTATTTCCTTTCTTCTACTGGTAGCTTTTTTTGTTCTCAACATGTTTGTAGGGGTAGTTGTAGAGAATTTTCATCGCTGTCGAGAGGAACAGGAAAAAGAAGAGAAAGCAAGAAGAGCTGCAAAACGTGCACGCAAACTGGAAAAGAAGAAACGAAGTATGGAATCTAAGGGTCGGTAGTTAAGTGGTACTGAGTCTGGCTTGCAACGGCAAGACTGTGTGAATGACGTCCCAACAATTACAGACAGAGGCTCAAGTTAACACTAATAATTACATTAAAAAAAACAAACAGTTTTTGATGCTGTTTTTCTCTTCCTTTTCTCTTAAATATTTTAAATGCGAAAGAATTGATTAGAAAATGATATCTTGTTGATTAACAGCAGCTGCATTTACTCATTCATTAATTAGGCTTTATTGAAATTATACTGCATAATTACATTATGAATCCTAAAATTTATATTAGGAATCGCTGTTGTTTCTCTTCCTTTTCCGTTCGATCCTATAAATGCCGAAGAGTTGGTGGTTAGAAGTAAGTTCTTATTGAAAAGTGTTGATGCCTTTATGATTCCTCCTGTTTGTTCTCTTCTTTAAATTAACATGTTATGTATCAAGAAAATTATATTTTCGAAATTAATTGTTGACGAATATATGAAATCTATGATTGACAAACAATATTTATTTATTAGGATCATGTTAGCAACTACATTACAAGAGCTGAGTGATAAATAAGGTCATCATTTTGTAAAATCAGTATGGAAAGAGATATAATAATGTGACCAGTTTGAAAAAGTAGTAAAAATTATTTATTTTTAACACACATCTTTACTTTTCAACATAATTACTTTGCATTTACTACTGAAAAAACTTTCTGATGTTTTCTCGATCCATTCTCACACGGCATCTTGAACTTCAATATACAATGAAAATTGTTGACCTTTCACATCTCCTTTTATTTTGGAAACAACCGGAAGTCTGATACTGCCAAATCTTGGCTGTAAGAAAGTGCAGAATAACCTGTATCGCAGTAAGGAAACACTGAAGACGCATAAGAAACTAAGGTTACAGGTTATTCGCCACTCTCTTTACAGCTCAGATTTGGCAGTATCAGACTTCCGGTTGTTTCCAAAATGAAAGGAGATGTGAAAGGTCAACAATTTTCATCCTACGTTGAAATTCAAGCTGTGCCACTCTAAATGGCGATTATGTTGAAAAATGAACACCGATCACATTATTCTATCTGTTCCCAAACTAATTTTATAAAAATGGCAAACACTCTTTACCAATCGGCTTCACAGATTAGAAACCTTTACATTAAGAATCCATTCTAATGCTTTTATTTTTACTTTTACCCTTGTTTTTATATCTTGTTATAAATTAATTATTGATGAACATTGGTGACTGAAATTCATCCATTCATCGGGCCACTATGTTTAGATTGCAGTCCTATATACTTCCACTGTCTTTTGTCCATCTGTCTGTTCTTCCTTAATCTTGAGTTAAATAGATGACCGGCACGACTCGATTGTTATCAAAAGAAGTATGATGTATAGGAGTAAAATACTATTAAAATCGAGACCAGATATGGAAAGTTTATGGACCCGATTTACTATATACAAATGGTTATGTTTACGTTAGCATCTATAATTTCATTATAAATATTTTTCGTGCATTTTTCTTTTTAAGACGTTAAGTGCTGAAAGAGAGAGTGATATTTCGTTAAAAATTAATTGCATAGTTGAAAATGGGGTAATATACTTTAAGTGATCTTCATCAAGGTAAAAATAAGGTTAAGATTTCTGTGACGGTAAACTTTACAATTAACAAAATTACTGTTATTAATTGATAATCTGCATGAAACTATTTACATAGTGTTGCAATTAAAGTTGAATAAGTTCAAGCGTACATTTTAAATGTTTATGCTTAGATTTGCTTAACTACTTCAGTTTACGTAGAGATTTCTCTGTAATTTCTCGATTTATAATTAAAGTTAAAATTTCGCTTTAATGTGAAAAGTTAAGAATTCAAAATAAATTATTTCCAATTGAAATAATCATTATTTTATTATGAATATTTATGTTAAATTTACAAGTAAAACAATTAATAATAATAATTTTAATCTATTTAAAGAAATAAAGTTATAAAGTTTAAAATTATCAAAATTTCATTTTAAAAAATATAATAAAAATTAAATTGTTAAATAAAAAAATGAGTAATAAGTGATATATTTTAAAAACATATAAGAGCAATTAAATTAAATATTTAAATTAATTAATTTTTTCTAACTTTAATGTTTAAAATTATAATATAGATTAAAATATAATTTAGTAAATTTAAGTGTAGATAATAGTTATCATATGAGTTTTTATTCAGCTGCTTCTATCCTCCAAAGATTGAAATGTTACATATATTATATAGGTCTATGCATTATGTATATTATATTTATATTCATTACATATAACATATATATGTGTGTTACATCTAATCCAGGAATGTTGCTCATTTCATGAAAGATGCAATTGATGTGCCGATTTCAGGAATTTGTCAAATGATATTGGTGCAGAGATGTAGTAAATTTATGAACATAAGTAATTTGAAAAACTTTTTATATTGTTTACTATTATTGGGCTACAGTTTTAAAAATTCGTAGACCTATAAATTATCACCGTCGTCCGTCTGTCCGTCTATCCTTTCTCAATCTCGAGAACGGTGTTAGATAGGTTAAATTCGAGACCAGATGTGAAAACATTAAGGATAGGAGGTCCGGATTAACGACTATATGCAAACTTCTATGCCGAAAGTCACGTGATTTCAATTCAAAAATGTTCTCCACAACAGAGCTACACAGATGACCGACATGATTCTGTTGTTATTAGGGAAAGTATGATGTACCGGACAGGACACTATTAATTTGAGATTGAAAGCATATCTTTTTAATTAAATAAATGAAAAAATATAATTAAAAATTGAAGCCGGCATTGTGAAGATGTCTCAATAATTTTTGCTTGTTTTGGAGATTTTTCTGTGAGTATATATTTAATTATATATTCTTAAACTCTAATATAGCATTTAACGTAAATCTTTACTCGATGTTTTCTAAGCCGTAACTCGATAATAAAAAACAAAAGTCTGTATTTTATTGTAAAATATAAAATGGGAATTTTATGAATTAGGATAATTCTGAATTACGCAAATTTTTATTTCACGGAATGAGCAAACATTCCAGGATTCGGCGGTTGTGCATACGTTTATAATTGTTCATATAGTCATGTTTTTCAATCATGATATTCACAGGTATCAGTGGCGTAACTAAGATTTTGCTCTGGGGGTGAACTTCGATGATGAACTAAAAACCACAATCAGAATGAAGAAAAAATTATGACCAACTTTTTTACATTTTTGGACTCAGAGGATCCTGAAATGTTAATAAATTCAAAATAAGTTGGGGATTTTTCCCTATGTTTGAATGCTGTTGTATGTATAGGATGCACAATTTTGTTCACTAAATTTGAAGCTTAATAGCTCCTGGGCTTTTTGTCGAAAATTTCTGAAATTTTTCTAGGAAGTTTGTATACAACAGTAATTGATGCAATTAAATTTTTATGATTAAACGTCAAGGGGTTTGGGAGATAGAGGGGACTATATGTCATCCCCCCATAATTACGTCACAGATACGTGTGGATATATTCATAATTTTGCATGCGTTTACGTTTTGAATATATTCTGTTTATAATTAGAAAGTCTCTATGTCTGTTCGTCTGTCTAACTGTACAATTCGTTCCTTTCTGAAAACTTTGATTTTGAATCCTTTCTTTGATTTTTTAAAACACATTTATAAATACAGTATATATTCCATTACTTTTAATTATTAATAATATAAAAATTATTATTAATTCTCAAACAATTTAATATATTTTTACTTAAATGATAGAAATATCATTTATCTAAAATTATTAATGAAGTTTTTTTTTGCCTTAATTAGTATCATTATTTAGAAGTTGTTAAATCATTTTCTAATGGTTCAAATATAGTTTTTAATTTAATTTGTCTGTTCGTTTGTCCGTAGGAATTTTGGAAAAT